AAACAATCTAGCCAGGCAGTCTGCATTAATTGTTCAACTGTGACTTATACTTTCTTGCTTCTCTCAGGGAGAGGAGATTGTTGGTTGTAAAACAATTTCTGCAGTCACTTTCTGCACCACAGGCTGCATCCTGGTTTTTAGTGCTCGTAGCCATAGTGTCACTGCTCCATCCCCAGAATTTGGGGGTTGTTTATCATAGCAGTTTTCCAGCAAGAACTTTGATATGCAGCTTACTGAGCTGGTGAAAGGTATGGGAATTCAAATTAGCGTCTCCCAGGGCTCTCTTTGCTTCTTTCACTCTGTAAGAGGCTGCTGTGGTAAGCAGCTTAGGAAAAAAACCAAAAATGGTAGAAAAATGTGGATAGACTTTGCCATTTGACACAAGTAATACTTAAAGACGAGCATAAAATTCCCATTGACTTGGTATGAGATAACAAGTTGAGGTTGATAATAGCCTAACAATTAGGGTATAATAATAATAATATAATAGTTAGGTTTTGATAGTAATATTATGAGGCTTTTTTGTACAATTTATGTTAGCAGCTTAATTTCTAGGCTGAAATCTTACTCAGATTGAGAGAGAAATTCTCACAATTTCTCACTTATGACAGAACAAAGTTAATTATTCCACCAAATGAGTAACATTGGTCCTGTAAAATCTCCTAGAAAATATTCAAGTTCTCTGAAGTTATATTTAAAGATTGTACATACATGTGGAAATTTCACAGACATGATGCATGTTGTAATATATGGTGATTTGAACAAAAGCATTTTCTGAAACACAGATACTTGACATCTTCAGTTTTTTCTAAAGAACTCAGATCTTCATGCAGAGTTGAAGATTAGGTCTTGCAGTAAATAGCTGTGTGTAACTGCAGCTGCTCTTAAAGGGTGTCTGTAACTGGGTGGTATTTTAAATACCAAGTAGACCTGGAGGCCATCTGCTCTGTAATCTTTCAAAGTGCTTCCACTTACTGAAGAGCTTTTTAAAATAGAGGTTGATATTCTAGTCCAAGTGTTCAAAATTTCAATATAGTGTGTTATTTCAACTTGCATATGAACAAAACTTAATTCTAATCACATCTTTGTAGGTATTTTGCCTCGTAGCTGGTCTCATTACACAGTGCCAGCTGGTATGACTGTTATCCAGTGGGTGTCTGACTTCAGTGAGCGCATTAAACAGCTCCAGAATATTTCCCAGGCAGCTGCATCTGGTGGAGCAAAAGAACTGAAGGTACCTTGTACTGACTTCTCGGGGTTATTGGTGGAGCTGTGTAACTGCTTCCTGGAGTCTTCACATCAGGACTTGTAAATACCTCCTCAGTCAATGAACTTGGGTCAATGTTCTCTGAAATGTCTGCAAATAATGCTGAGCATCTCCTGATCACAGCGTGATGAGGCTTAGCAGGCTAACTGCACAGAGATCAGAGGGAGCATTAGTGTTGTGGAATAACAGGAGACAAAGCCTTAGAGTAAAAAGCATCTTAGCAGTTACACTGTGCTCCAGTAGTAGCAGGAATATTTTAGTGTAAACAGATTGCTGAAGTATTTGTAATAGTCATTAATTAATACTGCAGCTGAAATACTTTTTTCCCTGTATTTTCCCCCCTTAAACAGAACATCCATGTGTGCCTGGGTGGCCTGTTTGTGCCAGAGGCATATATTACTGCTACAAGACAATATGTTGCCCAGGCAAACAGTTGGTCCCTTGAAGAACTCTGTCTTGAGGTCAATGTTACAACTACCCAGAATGCAGTCCTGGATGCCTGCAGCTTTGGAGTCACAGGTAAACTTAGCTGAAAGGAGGGACCTTGTTCTGAAATGTTTTCAGAAGCTTCTGGTATTAAATGGGCTATGTGAAATGAAAAAGATGCTGTTGTTGCTAAAGTTAATACACGCTTTTTGAAAGTATTTTCAGATTAATTTGATACTAGTTATTAGGGAAGTATCTACAATGCTAATAAATCTCAAGACTGGGGTCAGTGTATATTGACGTGGTATTGCATAGTGTATCACCTACAAGCTCTTTATTTTTCAGTATGAAATAGTTCTCATTTAGTGGACTTAGGCCTTAAATGATACAGAGGGAGACAGCCTTTGGATGTATGAAAGGTCTTAGAACTCTAAACTGTATTGCAATTTGCAGGCCTGAAGCTTCAGGGAGCTACATGCAGTAACAACAAGCTGTCACTTTCAAATGCTATTTCAACGGTCCTGCCCATTACACAGCTTCGCTGGATCAAGCAGACAAATGCTGATAAAAAAGCAAATGTTGTAAGTATTGATGAAAGTATTTTGACATCCCTAGCAATTTTTTTTTTCCTAAGACTTTATGGATACTTGTACCAGGCACAACAAATTAAATTGGTGTTCTATAATTCCTCTTGGTGTCAGTTTGCATCTGATTTTGGGGCTAGCACCAAACAGACCTAGTGCTGACCATGTCTTTCCTTTGTAGATAGAAAAAAGGAGAGACATCCAAAAATGATGTTCAGTTCAAAACTCAAATTTATACCTATAGCAGCATCTGTGAATTTAAGTCTTGGGGTTTTTCCTCATATTTTGTGCACTGAGTTATCTGAGACTAAATTCCCATCTCATTGGTACCATATAGTGTTACAGAAACCTGTGACACTCTTCAGCTCTCTTACAGAATTCTTCTATATTCATGTTTTTCCCCAGGTTACTTTACCAGTTTATCTGAACTTCACTCGTGCTGATCTGATTTTCACCGTTGACTTTGAAATAGCCACCAAGGAAGATCCCCGCAGCTTCTATGAGCGTGGTGTTGCAGTTCTCTGCACTGAGTGAACAAATTTATTTTCACTGGTTAATGCTATAGTAAGTGTCAGTCTTCTATGTAGTGCTCACCTGTACTTTTGTAATCAGGGTAGTTTTAGCAGATGGATTTGTGTCAAGTTGGCTGGAACGGCGATGGTGCATTGGGAAGCTGATAGGCCAGAGAGATTTCTTTGAAGGAAAATTGAATAAGATTTTTAGGTGGTTATTGGTAGATATGATATTTGATGGATTATGTTATATTAAATAAAATATATAGTCAAATTTTTTGCTGTCTATTTCTGTTAACCTAATTCTTAGTGATGGTTTTGGTCTGGAAAACCTATACCTGTGATCTTTTCAGAGAATAACTATGAATTGCTCTTCAAGCTAACCTCCAACAACAGGAACCTTAGAATGTAAGTCTGTAGTGCAGTAAGACACAAAGCCTGACACCTGCTGAGATAATTCAGGCCATTGCATTAATTACTTGCAATGGACTGGGTCTTACTTGAAGTAAGCTGCTACAATGCACTGAGAAGCTGGAGCATCCTCAACTAAATTTCTTGTCCTATTGACCAGAGCTTCCTCTCTCAAACTGCTTTTATGGTGAAATACATCTTCAGATTCATGTTTCAGTAACCCAACAATATTATTTGAGAGTCTCACTAATATTTGAGACTCTCACATGTGACCATTATTAAATTAGGGAAGCTGAGAGTTCCTGCTAATTGCTGCTTGTTTGGGCATTTTCTTGCTTTTTTCTGATCCTGAATTCATTGGCTAAGCATTTCTACCTTTCTGACCATCCTCTCAGAACAGCTGTCCTCTCTGACCATGGCTAAAGTCAAGTGTTCAAAGATGTGTATGAAGAACGTGGGTACACAGCTTTCTGACCTCAAAACTGAAATCTTGGGAGCCCCCTCCTTTAGTGATTGCTCCTGTGAAAGCAGTGACTTTCATCAGCTCTAGTATTTTTCTGTGATAAGGGTTCCTACAATACAAGCCTGTACTGGGAGGAAAAATTGCTATCTCAGGCTGCCTCACATACTTGTTTTGGTCAATGCTTGCTGTTTACTAAAACAGAATTATGCTGTCTGCCCTCTCCCTGCTGTTTTGCAAAGTTAATCTCTAAGACTGAACTGTCATGGCTGGTTTTGTTACCTTACAAAGTGTGAATCCCAGACCAGTGAATCATGTAATCTTTGTGCAGTTCTTACCCAGTTGTGAGTATCAGAGATGAGAACTACATCCATCAGGATCCAAGATGAGTTGTAATTATAATGCCTTTGCTTTGTTTCAGCCTCTATGAGAGACTTTGCTCTCCAGTACCAGAATATGTCTGGAACTGGTATCACTGCCTCCAGCATCTTTTCAATTACATTTTACAGAAAAAAGCACCTCCTGCTAGCAGTGGGCTCTGGGTATCAGCTGCAGTATGAAGTATTAGCTTGCAGCTTCCTCTCAGCAACTGCTATTTGTGCACAGCTCATAGACCTGGGCTGTGGTACCACTTACACCTACTATTAAACTCTGCCTGAACCACTTCCACCTATCAGCAAATGCTGATGAAATCAAGAGTTTCAAGTATCCAAGACCTTGAGCTTCCCAAACTCTTCAGCTCTTTTATGTTAACTTCTGCATTAAGCCTGAATTAACAAAAGATGCAGTTTCACTTCACAAGTTAATCCACAGCTGGATTCTCATACTGAATGAACATATTCCACTCAGTAGATACTGGCCCATGTTGCATACCCTTCCACTTAGTTATCTCCTATCATGTTTTTTCCTGTGTGAAACAACTACTTTAAGTGAAATCCTCTTGAGGTAGATTTAGGGTTTTTGGCAGCAGTTTGAGGGTCAGAGGGTTCAGTTTTATTTAGCTGATGGGGCTGAGAGCTAGAGTGTTGAACAGCTAGGATTTCAAATGAGGGGCTTCGCTGCATGACAGCGTTGTAAGTCTTAAGCTTTGCACAAATCTTCATTCCAGAGAGAGCTGTAGCCTAGTTGTAGTACACACAAATCTATAGCTGCAATTGGTTGTTTGTTGGCTTGTTTGGGATTTTTAAAATTAACTTCATGGTTTTCATGCAGCAATCTTTGCCTCTGGACAAGTCAAGGGGCAACCACACTGCCTTCTGTCTCAGGGCAAAGGCCTCTGAAACTTACTGTTAAACCACTTATGTTCCAAGATGATTAAAAAACATTTCCAACTGTGGGAATAAGGATGAAAGAAAAGTTGCTTTAATGAAATAAATACACAGGTGGAAGGGTGCAATGCTAGCAGTTAAATAATATTTTGAGTGGCTTTCCATCTTGCAAAAGAAACTGGAAACTAAAATTCTCTGCCAGTTGTACAGAACAAATGTTCTAGCAAGTTGCTGGTACTAACATCTTTCAAGCTATCATTATACTTTCATAGTTAGTAGTTCCCCTCCCACACAAATGGACTACCCAAATTCTAAACCTGATTAAAGCAATTACTATATTAGGAGAGGGAGATCAGAGATAGCTTTTGCTCCCTAACTGGCCTCCCATCTGTGGGCACCACTCCTGCAGCTTCTGAACAACTGCTTTCACTAAGAAGCTCTGAGCTAATGTGTTCCACATCACATTGTAAACACTGATCTGGCAGCTACACAGAAACTGCCCAAAACATTGGTCAAACGAGGTAGGAGCAGCTGTGGGGCAGCTGTGTTAAGAGCAACTAGACAATTTCTCCCCCTTTAAAGAAGATAAATGCTGGATTGTGGCACTTGCAGTCAGTTCAGATGTTGGTAGTCAAACCTGTGTCGTTCATCACTCAGAAGGAGGTCAGATACAGCAAGAGCCAAACATGACATGAAGCGGGTGCCAGACAAGCCATAGCTATTGGAAGCTAATTGCAGCCACGGAGTCACTCTCCATACTCGACAAACCCTTGTCAGTGTTGGTGAAATTACATTGAAACTGAGCAGCTGCCTCCAGGTACTGCACACAGGAGCTGGGGCTGGTGCTCCCAGAAGACCTGGGCACCAAGCTTATTTGTCATGCTGTGGATGTACCTTTGCTAATTTCCACTGGAATTGCCAGACAGCTTGACTCTGTTTTTCAGGTGGCTGTCAGAGCTTACTGTACAGCACAGTGCATTTGTAACAGGCTTGAGGCAGCCTGTTTAGTTCAAGTACACTACACAATGCAAAAGAAATCTCTACCAGAATGATCCTTCAGAACAGTTTGTCCAATTATTTATTCATCCCTTACATTAAGTTGCACGGAATTTCTTTCTCTTTAGTTTTTCACTAGCATCCTCTGGAGCAGAAATCCTTCGTTTTCTTTTAATTATGGGCTGCTCGGCCATTGTGCCGTCAGAGGGAGCTGCGAACAGGGGCTGTGGAGCAGTGTCAGCCGGGATTGCAGGGAGATCCGCGGAGAATGAAGGGTTAACAGCCATCGGTAAGGCGTGGTCAGATGTCAGCCCCATGGGGGTAAATGCTTCAGTAGCTGGAGGCGGCTCAGGGGTTTGCAGCAGGTCCTGCTCGAGCCCAGGAAACTCCAGGGCTTCTCTACAGTAATTTACTGCCTGAATGTCACTGACATTTGGAGGATTAGGGAAGGATCGTTCATCTTCTGAAGTATCAGCATTCTCCAAAGGCATTGCTTTTGAGGCACTGTTTGGCCATGGTGCATCTTTTATACCACAGTCAGTGTGAACAGATGCATCTTCTGAATCACCGTCATAAGGATCTAAAAACTAAAATAAACATCTCTAAACATGGTGGATTTTTGTCCTTAAAAAAAAACCAAACCAAATGATACAACATACAATGGATTTTAAACTCTCTTTCAAACTAAGTCACAGACTTATGTGGAATCTTTTCTGTTTATCCAAACACTCCTGCCTCCATTTTAGTTTTTGGAAGTATGTAATACCCAAAACCTACTTGTAGTCCCCTGGATTCCTTCGCTTTCTTGAGTCCTCCAGCAAGTGGACTAGGCACAACCTATTTAAGAGAAGTTAACAAAGGTTTATAAAGCTCTTTCCAATAAGTTACCAAATGAACAACAGAATAGGTGGAAATCCTAGAGAAGAGGAAGCCAGATTGTCACTTTGCTAAAAGACAATAAGTGTGTCTCCATCTAACTTTTAAAGGTTTGGTAGAATTGACCTAAAATAGAGCAAATGGTAAGTCTTAGTGCACTTAAAACCTTGCATTAAAGAGAACAGTAAGTAATTACATACCACCAGAAAAATAAACCAAAACAGCACTTAAATAACTGTAGTCAGGATACAATTTAGAGTTTAGAGAGCTTCCCTCCCAACTCGGGTCCCTTTTTTTCTTTCACATGGGGATGATTTGAAATCCTGAAACAATGCTTAGAGTCTGGGTCTAATAATTTTTTTTAAAAAGCCACATAGGGAGACTCCCTTTAGAACATAAACCCCAGGTACCAAGTCTCACAAAGGGAAAGAAATTAACAGCAAGAAAAGTGGGAAGGTTCTTGAAAAGGATCCGCCACAGGTGCTCAGAGAATACACTGCCAGTCAGTGCTGTGATGCTTCCAGTGGGAAGGGGGAGAACTGAGCACAGCTGAGACAAAGCAGGGCTCAGGAATCTGAGCTCAACAGGAAACCGAAGGCTTTATCAGAGGAGCTGAAGGCCAAGCCCGTTTGTGACTGTGTATTTTTGTGCTGCCTCAAGGACAGAGACACCCCCACAAAGCCCTTCTGCTTCTCCAAAGAGCACAGAGATCCCCTGCCAGGACTGCCCTGGCACCTGCCTCAGCACCCTCGGTGAGAGCAGCCAGCTCTTTGTTTAGGCTGAGACTTGTGCAAGCCCCTCTTCCACCCTGCCCAGCCATCACACAGCTGGAATTCCAACCTGGTTTCTCCCAGGAGAACACAGACAACTCCAGCCTTGTCCTGACCTTCCTGGAAGATTAATCGTGGCAGATTCCTGGCAGGCAGCTTCTCCAAGTCACAAAGCACAGTGATTCACATAGACCAACAGTGAGCATCAGTTCCAGTTTTACCCACAAATTAAGTATTTTGTTCTCCACATCAGGTCTTTTTTCATCAGCATTAAACACCAGTTTGATAGAACAATGTTCAAAAAGTTACCAATATCCATAACTAACTGCCACAGCAACAGAGCTGCTCTTAATCTCCTCCAAAAGGGACAGTCAGAAGGTAGAGGTTCACCACCCAGGGCTGTAGAAATCCCAATGGACTAGAACTGCAGAAAGTTCACCACCAGGAACAGCCCAGGTTGGCACTTTTTTAACATTTGTCTGCCTAAAACACTGTCTCTTTTCTGCTTAGAATCCCCTTAGAATCAACTTTTCTAAAGTTAGTAACAGCTGTAAGAAAGAGCCTGATGGAATGGGTAGTATTTGGATTGGGGTAGTTTTAGGTTATTTTCCAGCTGCAAAATCAACAGCTCCACAACATGCCTTGGATGCTCCCTATTGAGGCTGAAGGAAGACTTGGATACACATCAGGGAATTACATCACCATCAGAACACCTGAGAGTCAGTCCTTACCTCTGCCCTGGCTTCAGACTCAGACTCCGTGCTTGACTCCACTGTGCATTTCTGCTGCAGAGGAGGAAGGGAAAGAAATGCCACTCAAAGCAGAAGTTACTGCAGCTTCAAGCTGAAGCTGAAGTTCTAGTACCATCTGCAGGTGCTGAGCCTCTCCAAAGCTTCCCCATCTGAAGGCAGCTTGTCTTTCCAAATATCCCACAGTTGTGGTGCTGGTTGGCTAGTGCAAGTGAGACTCAAGGGGAAAATAGAAGCCTCTCTCATCGCTTCTCACCCCCAAAACCACAAAGGGAAGCAGACCAGAACATGTCTCACACTTGCTAAGAATGGTTACTCCAGGCTTGTAACTTTACAAAACACTTTTCAGTTTGCACTGTGGTTCTGTTCGTTTCTTTGCATTTGGTGGCCCTACAGCTCAGAAATGTAACTGCAGATGACTCAAAACACCCTGATTTTTTCTAAAGCTCTTGCTTAGAAAGAGACCTTACAAACAAAGAGCTCCCTTAGTCCCCAGAGGGTAAGGCAGAAATAGAGGAGTTGCTTCCGTCACTCCCATTTAAATTAATTCATCCACACCTGTTCTTCATTCACTCTTTTCCAGCTCAGCCAGCTGCTGATCATCAGGCCAAGGGCAAACCAACAAACACTTTCCAAATTGTATTCTAAAAGGTGTAGGTACAGAAGCAGCAATTAGAACAGTTACCATGTATTTTCGTGCCAGTCTTTCTACGCAGTCTGGGCTTTTAACAGAATCCTCCTTTTCCTGAGCATCTACTGAAACAGGCAGAGGGTAGGAGAGCACATTAGAGGAAACCTTCTCTGAGATAAAATGCCAAGACATGACTACTCCCTTCATGCTAGAAAAATTGATCAGTCCTTCATATAATCTGTTTTAAACTCTAATCAAAGGCAGCTTCTGTTTAAAAATAAGTAAGAAGCAGCCAATGTCTTCTACCACAACAAGATTTCATCTATTGGTCCTTCATACAGTATTAGGAAAATACAATTTTTTTGAAGAAGCTTATACCAGACCACAGAGGGTTTTGTTTGTTTTTTTTTTCTTTTAGGCACAACAAATTTTCTGAATCCTTAAAGAAGCATTTGTGCTCAAGATAGCCAACCAGATTAGAGAGAGATAAATGCAAAGCTGTGGCATAAGCCAGACCTCTGTTCCAGTTCCCCACTCCCAAAGTTCATTCCCTCTATGCTCACACATCCCCCTCCCCACTTCAGGGCTCTCTTACAGAGGCTCCCTCCCTTCCATACCCTCCATGGCCTGCCCAGTCTCTCTCCTCTTCCTCCGCTGCCTCTTCCTCACCGAGGCCATCCCCATCCCAGCACCTCAAGCCTCTCCAGCTTTATTGGCTGGCCCACGCCTCCACCCTCACAGGCCCTGCTCAACCTCCTCCACCTGGAGAGCTGCTCCTTCAAAAGAGAGGAAAATAAGCAAGAAATAAGAAAAGTCGAGAGTGGAAACCCTTCTGTGGCCCTTTGTGCCACTGCAAGGCTCCAGGCTGTTCTGCAGCAGCGCTGACTCTGTGGGGCCTGCACTCCTTTAGTCACTACATTTCCCAAGTGTGCATGTAAAATACACACACACACATATATATAAATATAAATATAATATATATACAAATATATTATATATTTAAAAACACACATATCCAGTCTGCAAGGCCTGGCAGCCAGGGATATGACACTTCCCCTCCACTCACCAATTTATTTTCTGGAGCCCTGTTTCCTCCACACGACCCTCAGGCTGGCAGAAGAGTCAGCATTCAAGGGGAGCCCCTCTCTTCCCTCCAGGCAGGCAGGATGATTGAAGATGTTCCTGTGATTTGCTGGAGCAGATGATCTCCCTGTAGCAGACGGACAGTTCTAGCTGAACACAAAAAACTTTCTGAGCATCCTTCTTAATCACTTACAATCCAGCACAGCCATTTTACTGTTTTTAAACACCAGGAACAGTATTTTTTCAGAGTTACTGGAGAACTACTTTGTTTTTCACAAGGAAGCAGATCTGATTTGACCCTTTTAAAGCCATATCTCCATCCCCTTTCTTGTTCTTTCTATAGGAAATGAGGAACTATTTTTTCCAAATCAAATTTCCTATTCTTCCCATTATCTCTTTCCTAGCTAGCTTTCTTGCATCTTTCTGCGCAGTGCAGAAGGTACTACTGCACAGAAACCTCAGCAAAACAAACATCTCACTCTAAAGCCAGCAGTGGGTTGTTGCTCTGAAAAGGCACCAGGAACAAGTCCCAGTGGGGGTGACAGTGACAGCAGCTGTACCAGGAGCAGCTCACAAGCCCCACAAACCTTCACCCCACTTCTGCCTCCAGCTGATCTAGGTCCTGTTGCTTACATCTCTTTTCTTCACAGAGACCTGCCTTTTCTACCCCTACTAAAACTGCCTCTCTTCAGAATCTCCAACCATTTTCCAAACACAGCAACCAAGAATCTCACTCACCACCCCACAGCACCTCCCACCACTGAACTGGGAGTTAAGGGGCTGTGTTAGTACCTGCAGCACCAGCTGAGCTGAATAAGCACAAATGATCATCCTGCTTCACCCAAGTACAGGGCTGGGAGTCGTTACTCCCACAAAAGCCTGCCCAAAATAAGCTACAAATTATTTACAGGCAGCAGCTGTTAGCATCAAGGCCCTGGGCTCCATGGGCTGGTTGGTCTGTGAGGGGCTGCAGATGAAACGGTGACTGCAAGGGTGAGCACAGCCCAAGGCTCCCACAGCACACCTGCTCCCTGCACCCTTCTGGGCAGGGCCAGGCAGCAGCTCCAGTCACACAGTTCCAAGGGAGATCTCGGGTGTGCAGCTCCCAGAGCACACAGCTGATGCCATCGCTGAGCCCTGTGGCTGCAGCGTGAACGAGGAGGTGGCTGAGGCTCACAGAGGTGCAGCAATGCTCGCTCCAGGGCTCATCCCCATCATTTCCACTGCTCAGTGCCCTGCACAGAACTCATGCCAGCCCCAACATGCTCTGATTTCCCTTCAGTCCAGGCTTTCTTAGGGTCTGGCTGCTCAGTGTAACACAGGGCATGACTCAAAAACACGTTCTCAGGGGAAAAATGCTGGAGACACCAAGTTTCACCTGAATTATTTTCTTAAAAGATGTATTAGTTTTCAAGAAAGGTTAAGACTTGTGCCATCACTGAGCAAGTGAAAGCCTTCAGCATTGTCACTGGATGTTTTAAATCCCAGTGTTACTACTTGGAAGGTATTTTCACCATTTTTTCACATTATGGAAGATTTTGTCAAATATTTTAGTCACAAGTCACACGTACCTTAAAACCTCCCTTAGTTTTGATACAATTGAAACAGATTTTTTGACACTGAGGTCTTGAAGCAATAACCTAAAGACTGATGAATTCTGCTCTCCTGATAACTTCCAACACTGAGCATCACAGAAGGAAGCCTTTTCCTTCTATCATTGCTTTTGCCACCCACGCACCAAACTGAAAGTCAATACTGGTGCACACGTTAGGAACTCTAACTCCCTTTCTGCATCTGGCTTGATGCCATGTTTGATATCACAGCAGCAGCACATCCACCACCTGTGAGGGGTGCGGATGGAACACGCAAGTCTCAGCCAGGGTGAGCAGACAGCTCCTGCCGGGGCACAGGGACACACTCGAGTTCAAAGCACACCTCACACAGTCCCCAGGCAGGGCTGAGGGGGAATCCCAGCTCCTGCCTCACTGTTCAAGGAAATGACAGCCTTGCTTTGACAATGCTGCTTTCAAGTCATGCAGGCACCAGTTTTTTCTGCACTTTTATGAGGTAACCATAATTTGAAATGATTTTAAACATGTTTTGATATAGGTGATGTGGAAAACAGTGCCACACTTGTGACACATATTCAGCCTCCAGCAGCTGTGTAAGGAACATCAAAGCAGTGGATATTCATATCGGAACATCAAAGCAGTGGATATTCATATCCCATCTTCTCATCTTTGAGAACATTCAGATCTGGAACAATGTGATTATTGCAGTCAAGTGAACTGACATGAACACCAGCTTCAGTTTCAGCAGCTTGCAGTGCCCCAGCCTACCTACAAAACAGGGATTGACCACTCCCTACCCTCGCAATGCTGCTTTAACATAAGGATCTCCTCAGGAAGCCAGAACTTGCACAAATTACTCTGGATTAGTTTGTAGGAAACAGATTTTGCCCTTTAACCCCTCCCTCCTCCTCTCCAACCAGTTCACTGAAGTTAAGCTATTAAGAATACCAAATACAATCTGCTTAAATTGCTACTGTAAGACAAATGCCAAGGAACACAGAATACAGCACAACCAAGTATTCCCTGGCAGGCTGTGTGATGTGTAATAACCACTTTTCCAGAGACATTTCCAGCTCTGGTTTGTAGTGGGATCACCAAGCACACCCTGTTAATTAGACTTAAAGCACAGCAGCTGGAGCTCAGGCTCCAGCACAACAACTCCTGTGGGCATAGGCAGAGCAGTTTTGTTTCGGTGTGAACAGACAAGTCAGTGACACAGCTCAATTCTTAACACTTTTATTCTTACAGTTCTAGGTTTGAACTGTACATGCAGAGTTGCATAAGTCACAATAGAGATTTACAGTGGATTCTATTCTATGGTAGAGTGCAATCCAGAATCCTTGAACAGTATAAAAAACAACTTTAAACATCAAGACCTTGTTAGGAGCAGAAGGATTAAAGCTTCCCCAAGAGATTCAGCTCTCCTAGATACCTAGTTACTAGGTACTGTATGTTAGACACGTAAGAGTTGAAGAGCTGTGGAACACTAAACAAACTTGAACACCCTGATGTCTTCCCATCTTCGTTACTTCTTCCCACATTTCTGGCAATTAAGAATAAGTCAAAAACCCTGCCACCTGCAACCAGCTAATACAGACAAAAATAACTAACTCCTTACTTGCCTGTTTAGGGTTGTACAGTGTTAAAGAAAATATTCCCTCAATGGCATTTGTATCTCACATCAGCTGAAAAAGCAATGTAACAAAAATAAAGGTATAACATCTTTGAAAATAAATATAAAGAGGGAATGCAGACAAAGTGTCAAAGATTTTTTTTTTTGGCAGGTAACATTCATAATATACAAAATATAACTTATTCATATTAGCCAAGGAAAACATTCATGAGTTCCTGTAAACTGGTTTAATCCACCTCCTCCATGCGTGATGTGTCATCATCTCCCTCAAGAGGTGGCATCTCCTCAGTGACTGCTGGACTGGCTTCTTCTGCAGCAGTGTCATCTTCATCAATGCCTGTGCAGGAAACACACACCCCCCATTAGTGCTGACAACACAAACATTTCACCTCCACAGCACATCACCTGAAGGGCTCATTTTCCACACTACCAAGCAGGACCAAGACAGTAACACCCCAAGTCCACTTGAGCCAGGACAGATTTGGGAACTTACCCAGCCCAAGTTTGATCATTCTATAAATGCGGTTGGCATGTGTCTGAGGATCTTCTAAGCTGAAGCCAGAGGACAGGAGTGCTGTCTCATACAGCAGGATGACAAGATCCTTCACAGACTTGTCATTCTTATCAGCCTCTGCTTTCTGCCTCAGTGTTTCAATGATGGAATGATCAGGATTAATCTCCAGGTGTTTCTTTGCTGCCATGTATCCCATTGTAGAGTTGTCCCTTAATGCCTGCGCTTTCATAATCCTCTCCATGTTGGCTGTCCAGCCATATGTACTTGTTACAATGCAGCAGGGAGAAGTAACTAAACGATTGGACACAACAACCTGCAGAGGGAATACAAAGCACAAGTTTGCAATTTAAGCATTTTAACAAGTAAAACTGATTTACCCTAAATTCTCTGTAGACTGCACTTTTACACACATGTAAACATGGCACTATTTTTACCTTTTCTACTTTCTTTTCAAGGATATCTTTCATTATCTTGCAGAGATTTTCAAACTTTGCTTTTTTCTCCTCCTGCTTCTTTTTCTCTTCCTCATCTTCTGGAAGCTCCAAGCCCTCTTTTGTTACAGAAACCAGGGTCTTGCCTTCGAATTCCTTCAGCTGCTGCACACAGTATTCATCGATAGGCTCAATCATGTAGATGACTTCCAGCCCATGCTTGCGAAGACGCTCCACAAAAGCAGAGTTGGCCACCTGATCCTTTGTTTCACCTGCAACACACAACAGCATCACAGATTAGCCTCAGCACAAGCAGCAGCTTGTTCAGCTTCTGCAGAGCCTATGCAACAGCTGCGGTGCTTCATGTACCAGCCACAGGAAAAAAACCCAGGGGCACAGACAGCCCAAGGACACTCAAGCTGCTTAAACTGACACTCCAACATCTAGTACTCTGAACTTGTTTTGAAGCCAATTTCTATTTCCGAGTCCCAGGTAAAGAAACGCTTCCCATTACTACCAAGCAAGGGAATTTGGAACCTGGAACCCCCTAACAGCATTTATAAATCCCCCAGAAGATAAACCTACAGCATTTCAGACCATTTCAGCTCCCAACTCACCAGTGATATAGTAGACATGTTTCTGGTTTTCCTTCATCCGAGTGCAGTAATCCTTCAGAGAGACCATCTCATCACCAGATGCAGATGTGTAGTATCTCAGTAATTCTGAGAGCTTCTTGCGGTTCTGCGAGTCCTCATGGATGCCAAGCTACAATAAGCAGGAAGAAAAATCACTAAGTGATTCCCTCAAGTAAGTACTGAACTGTTGTAGTTTAGGAGCTCAGGCACAACAATCTGCATGTGCAAATATCCACACTGCTCAGCAGAAAGACTACAAACCTTGATGTTCTTGGAGAACTGCTCATAGAACTTCTTGTAGTTCTCCTTGTCTTCAGCCAGCTCAGTGAAAAGTTCCAAGCACTTCTTCACCAAGTTCTTCCGGATCACTTTCAGGATCTTGCTTTGCTGCAGCATCTCACGAGAAATATTCAGAGGTAAATCCTCAGAGTCTACCACACCTCTCATGAAATCTGCAAAAATGACAGAAACATCTTTGTTAGTTTCACATATTACCGGTCCCTCTACCTACATGTGGCTCTGCCCATTAGAAATTATGGATTTATTTCTGAAGAACTCCAGTAAACACGAATTAAGGCATTACTGCTCAGCAACTGTTTGGAATTGAAATCTTCCCCCTTCCCCAATTTCTTTATATACAAAAGGAAACTACAGAATAGCTAAGCAGTTCTTCTAACCTTTTAGGCAACACTTTCCCCACAATTATACTCACTCAGATATTCAGGGATCAGTTCCTCACAGTTGTCCATGATGAAAACTCTGCGCACATACAGTTTGATGTTGTTCTTCTTCTTCCTGTTCTCAAACAGATCGAAGGGTGCACGCCGTGGGACAAAGAGGAGAGCCCTGAATTCCAGCTGCCCTTCCACAGAGAAGTGCTGTGAGAAAGCAAGATGATAATTTTAGTCCATTTGCATGGTTCCACTGCAATAATCACATAACTCTCCAAATGAGAAACACAAATGTCAAGAAACTTACTTTGACAGCCAGGTGGTCTTCCCAGTCATTAGTCAGACTCTTGTAGAATTCTCCATATTCTTCATTGGTTATGTCATCTGGGTTCCTGGTCCAAATGGGCTTGGTCTTGTTGAGCTCTTCCTGATCAATGTACTTCTCCTTGATCTTCTTCTTCTTCTTCTTATCTCCATCCTTCTTCTCTTCTTCTTCATCAGAACCGACATCCTCAATCTCTGGTTTATCCTCTGTCTTTTCTTCCTTCTCTTCTTTTTCCTCCTCCTTTTCCTCAGCCTCATCATCGCTCACCTCCTTATCACGCTCCTTCTCCACCTACAGAACAGCATCAGTAGTTAAAATTCCAAAAGCTGTAGAATTACTAAGTAGCAGTTCTAAGGTACCCCTTGCAGCCTCACAAAGCCAGGGAATTTCACAGTGTCAAGCTGTCCTATCCACATTCCAAGGACTCTCATTCTGGGTGCTGACACAAGTGGTGGTTGTCTCCATGTGCTATTAGCGAAGTTCTTACTGTTCACTTTCACTACACTGAATGACTCAATACACCCAGATGAATTAATCATTTGGTAACCAACATTATTGGCTTAGAAAACGTCTTCTTTTTTTCATCTAGTCCTGTGAAATGCAGTTGTAAGTAATGGAACTACACTTCCCCAGAATTTCTCCATATAACGTATTGGGAGAAACTGAAACTAACCAAAGAAAGATTAACTGCTCCTTCTTACACTAACTCTCACATGTTAAAGTGGTGATACTTGTGTAGCATTTAATGTAAGATACGTACAAAGAGTGTAATTGGGTAGCCAATGAACTGAGAGTGCTTCTTCACGATTTCCTTGATTCGCCGCTCTTCCAGGTATTCAGTTTGATCTTCTTTAAGATGCAGGATGACTTTTGTTCCACGGCCCAGTGGTTCACCTAGAATGGAGTTTACATGCTTTACGCTTTGCTGCAGCAGACTTAATGTAACACTTCAAAAATGCAATGCTCCACCAGCCACATTTTCACCATTAGGAAAACAAAGCTTCCATGTAACCTAACCTAGGCTGTTAATTTACACTTTCTCAAGTTTACTGTACCCTGCATGTATTTCAAACAAGCTTCAGAACATGTTTACTACTCTGTTCAGAGTCTCTGAAGACTCTGCACACATCATTGAAATTTGACTAATATTTTTTCATGTTTTAAGCTTTGAAAGCTTA